AAAAAAAAAAAAAAAAAGTCTCAGTCCTCTCCCAGACCCTTCAGCTCAAGGACAAAATAAGCAGATTTGGCATTGGCTGGACAGATATCCCATTTGTCTTGTGCTTCACGATATACTTTAAACTTATGAGGCTCTCCCTCGCTCTGGTTGTTTTGGGTTCTGTAGGAGTATGGGTTATAGTGCCTAGTTTTCTTTTGTGTTACACATAGATAGAATTTTTACTTACGTTCCTTTTTAGCACAACCAATTGCTAAGGTCATTTATTCAGTTAACATCATTTAGTGAGTGTCTGTGGTATGCAGAATGTATTTCTAGGTACCCAAGCAAGACTCTGAGGTTTGATGCCAGATGTGCTCTTCGCAGCAAACTGTAGGGCTAGGTCGAGTTGATGACATTTGGAGCATGTGGTAGATTCAGCTAACTCAGATTTTCCTTGTACTTGGTACTGTGTTCTCATTCTACAGTCATTCGTTGAACTTTTAACCACATACCTGTTAAAGATACTCCTGTTGAATTTTAAAATATTATATGGCTGGAATTGGTATGTGTTAATTATTTGGAAGAATATAATCTACATTTTCTATAAGCGTATATTAATAAATGTTTGAAAATTTATTTTCACCTTTTTTTTCCCTGCAGGTATTTGAAAATGCCATAGATCCTGGCGCTGTAGCAGACATTTTAGAAAGTAGGTACTCTCAAAACAAAACAAAACAACTGCTGTGTATGTAATTGTGTGTACAGATATAAAATTCTACTATATTCTATGTTGTAATATTTCCATGTTTGATCCATATTTATATTCAGGAGAGGCTATGTCAAATTTGAATCATGTTTTTCATTCTCTTGCAGACTCTTTTCTGGATAGAGATGGGACTTACTGGATGGTACACTTCTGTTTGTTCATTAATTTATTTACAATTAAATGGTTTTTGTATCTTCACACAGTTGTGTAACCATCACCATATTAATTTTAAAACATTTTTATCACAGAATGAAGCCTTAAACCCATTCTTCCTTATCACTCCCAGCCCTAGGTAACTACTAACCAATCTTTCTGTCTCTGTAGATTTGCTTATTCTGCATATTTCATGTAAATGGAATTATACAATACGTGGTCCTTTGTGACTGACTTCTTTCACTGAGCATAATGTTTTCAGGATTCATCTTTGCTACAGCATGTGTTAGTACTTCGTGTGCTTTTGTGGCCAAATAGTGTTCCATTGTATGGAGATACTACATTTTATTTATTCATTCATTGGTTGATGGATAGTTGGGTTGGTTTCACGTTTGGGCTGTGATGAATAATGTTGCTATGAATATTTGTGTACAAGTTTTTTTGTCGGCATATATTTTCATTTCTCTTGGGTATATACCTAGGAATAGAAGTGTGGGGTCATATGGTAATTCTTTTTAATCTTTGGAGAAACTTTACCAAAGCAGCTGAATTATTTCACATTGCACCAGCAATATGTGAGGGTTCCATTTCTCCACATCCTGGCCAACACTTGTTATTACCTGTCCTTTTGATTGCTAACCATCCTTGTGGGTATGAAGTGAAATCTCATTGTGGTTTGATGATGTTGAGCATTTTTTCATGTGTTTATTGACTGTATATCTTTTTTGGAGAAATGTGTATTCAGAGCTTTTGCTTATATTTTAGTTGGGTTATTTGGTTTTTCATTATTGAGTTGTAATATATAATGGACTTGTAATGTATGGAGTTCTTTGTATATTGTAGAGACAAGTCCCATATCAGATGTATGATAGATAAATGTTTTCTTCCATTCTTTGGATTATCTTTTCATTTTCTTGATGGTGTTCTTTGAAACACAAAAATTTTAAATTTTGATGAATTCAATTTTATCTGTTTTTCTTTTGTTATTTGCACTTTTGATGTCATAACTAAGAAAGTATTACCTAATTCAAGTCACAAAGATTTATGTCTGTTTTCTTCTAAGCATTTTATAGTTTTAACTTTTACATTTAAGTCTATGACGCATATTACGTTGATTTTTGTAAATAGCATGAAGTAGGGGTCCAACTTGCATCTGGATATCCAGTCATCCTGGTACCATTTGTTGATAAGAGTATTTTACCCCCATTGAATAGTATTGGCATGTTTGTTCAAAGTCAACTGAGTGTAAAAATGAAGGTTTTTTTTTTTTTTAAAGATTTTATTTATTTATTTGACAGAGAGAGAGAGACAGCAAGAGAGGGAACACAAGCAAGGGGAGTGGGAGAGAGAGAAGCAGGCTCTCCTCTGAGCAGGGAGCCCGATGCGGGGCTCGATCCTAGGACTCTGGGATCATGACCTGAGCCGAAGGCAGACACTTAACAACTGAGCCACCCAGGCACCCCAGGGCTTTTTTTTTTTTGACTCTCTATTCTGTTGATCCATATATCTATCATTATGCCAATTCCACACAATTTTGATTACTGTAGCTTTGTAAGTAAATTTTGAAGTCAGGAAATGTGAGTCCCCTACCTTAGTTCTTTTCAAGGCAGTTTTTGCTATTTGGATTTCCTTTCCTTTCCATATGAATTTTAGCATGTCAGTTCCGCAAAGAAGCCAGCTAGGATGTTGAAAGGCATTGCACTGAATCTGTGGATCCACTTAGGGAATATTTCCATCTGAACAATATTAAGTCTTCCAATCCATGAACATGGGATGTGGTGAGAATTAATTGAATGTAAGGAATTTGGAGCCTGAGACAAATGAAGTGCTAAACATTACCATTGGAGTGATGGTTGGCAAAGATATATTCTTTTTTCCTACTTAGAAAACCTAAAATTACAAACTGTCTTAGCTGTTAAGTTTCTTGGCATTTAAAATTCTGTCCTCATACGCACATATCTTTTTCATAAGTCTACAAAGGGACAATTTTACCTTTTTTTCATATATTTCCAGCTTCTTTGAGACATAATTGATGTATAACATTGTGTAAATTTAAGGTATACAATATGTGGTTTCGATACACTTATATATTGTGAAATGATAACCACCACAGCATTAGCTAAGAAACTCATCACATCACATAATACCATTTCTTTTTTGTTGTGAGAACATTTAAGACCTACTCTCTTAGCAGCTTTCAAATATATCATACAGTATTAGTAACTATAAGTGTCTATAATTGTCACCATTATTGCCTATTTTAAAATGTTTTCACTTCTCATATTTTGTGGGAATTATCTTTATTGATTTTTAATTGTTATACCATTTATGTTTAAATTAAGATTTGAATTTTATTCTTGTCCTTATAGATTTTGTACATGGGCTCACTATTTGTAAATACATTTTGGACTCAGGAAGTATAAAAAATGTGATATTTTATGTCTCATTTATATAGTCAGAGAGCATAGTGTTGTTTTTTTTTTTTAAGATTTTATTTATTTATTTGACAGAGAGAGACACCGCGAGAGAGGGAACACAAGCAGGGGGAGCAGGAGAGGGAGAAGAAGGCTTCCTGCTGAGCAGGGAGCCAGATGCGGGGCTTGATCCCAGGACCCTGGGATCATGACCTGAACCGAAGGCAGACGCTTAACGACTGAGCCACCCAGGCGCCCCAGAGAGCATACTGTTTTAAGCAAGATAAACTTATATAGGTTAATTGACAACAGTTGTATTGTGAATTTTTAAAAATGATAAGTCGTTTATTATGTCAGTGACTTACGAATATGTTAAAAAAATTTTTTTTAAAGATTTCATTTATTTATTTGACAGAGAGAGACATAGCGAGAGCAGGAACACAAGCCGGGGGAGTGGGAGAGGGAGAAGCAGGCTTCCCGCAGAGCAGGGAGCCCGATGTGGGACTCGATCCCAGGACCCCTGGGATCATGACCTGAGCCGAAGGCAGACGCTTAACGACTGAGCCACCCAGGTGCCCTAAAAATTTTTTTTAAAGATTTTATTTGTCAGAGAGAGAGAGCACAAGCAGGGGGAGCAGCAGAGGGAGAGGGAGAAGCAGGCTCCCCGCTGAGCAGGGACCCTGATGTGGAACTTGATCCCAGGACCCTGGGATCATGACCTGAGCCAAAGGCAGATGCTTAACTCACTGAGCCACGTCCCTTATGAATACACTTTTAAGAGAGAAAATATTGCATTCATTTCATCAACACTTTTCAGGGCATAAAATACCAATTACTCTCTTTCCATGCCTTTGAATTACTGGGTCTCAAAATACCTAAATCATTGTTGGTACGGCACCTATTATTATTATTATTATTAAAATAAATGGGATGTTATGGCAGTCTTAAACTTAGCAATTAATGAGCAACTCCAGCAATTTTCTTAAGTATTAAAATCTCATTTTTTCCCTTTTAGGCTTCCTAACCAGGTTTGAATTAATACAACTAGTACCTCCAGGTAATGTGCCAGTAAATGCATTTCTAAAATAGCTTATTTTGTTTGGAAAGGATTTTGGCATGACAGAGTGGGATTGGTATTTACAAGTTGTGCTTTCTAGAACACTCCCTTTTTTCCCCCACTGGTCTGTTGAATTCTGTCCATTCCTGGAAAAGTAACTTTATGGGTTTGGTGGCAGTAAGCATAAGCAGGCATTTGACTTTCTATTTTTTCATAACTTTATCTAATTATCGTCAAATAATAAAATCATGGCTCAGTTTCTTTCCAGTTGTTGCCTTTGACTTTGTTCTAATTTATGGGGCATGTGTGTGTGTGTAATACCCAAAACTGTCTTCTGTGTTAGATGCTAGAACAGGGTTGGCAAACTATAGGCCCCAGGCCAAATCCAGTTTGTTTTGTATGACTCGTGAGCTAAATTTCTACGTTTTTAAAAGTTGAGATTCATATCCTCTATGTTTAATTCATATACTACAAATTTCACTGTTGTCAAGTGTACAATTCAGTTGCTTTAGTATCTTTACAGAGTTGTGCAACCGTCACCCCTATCTTATTCCAGAACATTTTTATTATCCCAAAAAGAAACGTGTAGTCATTAGGAGTCCCTCTTCATTCCCTCTTCCCATAGCCCTGGCCACAACTAATCTACTTTCTCTGTTGATTGGCCTATTCTGGACATTTAATGTCAATGGACTCAGACAATATGTGGCCTTTTGTGTCTGGCCCCTTTCACTTTGCATGTTTTCAAGGTGCATCCACGTTGTGGCATGTATCATTACTTCATTCCTTTTTAGGGCTGCATAATGTGCTTTTATGTGGATGTACCAAAGTTTGTTTATCTATTTGCTGGTTGAGGGACATTTGGGTTGTTTCCACTTTTTGCATATTATGAGTAACAGTGCTGTCAACATTCATGTATGAGTTGTTGTGTGGGTACATGTTTTCAGTTCTCTTGGGTGTATACCTAGGAGTAGAATTTTTGTGTCATATGGTACCTCCGTGTTTAACTTTTTTTTTTTTTAAAGATTTTATTTATTTGAGAGAGAGAGAGTGCACACACACGTACATGCAAGCAGGGGCAGGGAGAGGGACAAGCAGACTCCATGCCGAGTGCAGAGCCTGACGCAGGGCTCGATCCCATGAACCCTGAGATCATGACCTGAGCCAAAATCAGGAGTCAAATGCTTCACCGACTGACCTACCCAGGCACCCCTCCATGTTTAACTTTTTAAGGAACTGCCAAACTGTCTTCAGTTCTTACATTTTTTTGAATGGTTGGAAAAAATTTTTTAAGTATTTCATGATGTGAAAATTGTATAAAATTCAGACTTCATTGTCCATAAAGTTTTATTGGAACACAACCATGCTCATTCGTTTAAATATTGTCTGTGGCTGCTTTTGTTTATGCTGGAGTTGAGTAGTTATGACCATGTGGTCTGCAAAGCCTAAAGTATTTACTGTCTTGCCCTTTACAGAAAAAGTGCTTGCTAGAATTGTGGGACTGTAGGAGGAAACTTTTCTGTGGTACCTTTGCTTCACATGTCTTTTTTTTCTTAAGGATTTATTTACTTGAGAGAACACAAGCATGGAGGAGGGGCAGAAGGAGAGGGAGAAGCAGACTCCCCGCTGAGCAGGGAGCCTGATGGGGGGCTCCATCCCAGGACCCTGGGATCATGACCTGAGCATAAGGCGGATGCTTAAACAACTGAGCCACCCAGGTGTCCCTACCTGGTGATTTGTGTGTGTGTGTGTGTGTGTGTGTGAGAGAGAGAGAGAGAGAGAGAGAGAATATTTAAGACTCAAACATTTCTAATTCTTTTTTGATCTTTGCTGTTACAGGTTTTTGCCTTTTTTCTTCCTTAAAATGAAAATAGCTTTACAGTTTTTATTTGCTGCAAAAAGCATCCCCAAATGATGAGAAAACCTTTATAATTTGGTGAACATGTTTCTTGATATATCTCTGCGGACAGAAAAACACCTAGATACAAAATTTTTACATAATAGTGTCACATACATTTTCTTCTCTTTTTGGCTTCCCCCGTGATAGATCACTGTTGGATTTTCATTTCTAAAAGCATAGATGTACGTCATTATTATTATTATTTTTAAAGATTCTCATTTATTTATTTGAGAGAGAGAGAATGAGAGAGAGCACATGAGAGGGGGGAGGGTCAGAGGGAGAAGCAGACTCCCCGCTGAGCAGGGAGCCCGATGCGGGACTCGATCCAGGGACTCCAGGATCATGACCCGAGCCGAAGGCAGTCGCCTAAACCAACTGAGCCACCCACGCACCCTGTACGTCATTATTTTTAATGGCAGTAAAGAATTTCATCAATTTACTTATGTGTTTTTATAAGTCCATGAAGAGTAGAGACATAACATTTGGGGTTTTGCTTTTTCACTGTACATTGTTATCTGTAGTTTGTCATTCTCAATAGCTATGTGTTTTTCTGTAGTATTATAATTATCCTTAAATTGATATTGTTAAACATTTAGGCTTTGTCTTTCACATATTTATAAAAATTATTTTTTTCTCTTGGTATATTTGTAAAGAATAGAATTACAGGAGTCCCCCCGTATCTGTGGTTCTGCTTCCTATGGTTTCAGTTACCCATGGCAACAACCATGGTCCAGAAGCAGATGATCCTCCTTCTGACATTGTCAGGAGGTCAGTAGTAGCCTAAAAACTGAGTCACTCACCTCACTTCTTCTCATCACGTAGGCATTTTATCAAATCACATCATCACAAGAAGGGTGAGTACATGCAATAAGATATTTTGCAAGAGATCACATTCACGTGACTGTTATTACAGTATATTGTTATAATTATTTTATTATTAGTTATTGTTGTTAATCTTTTACTAAGCCTAATTTATAAGTTAAACTTTACCGTAGGTAGGTATGTGTAGGAAAAAAAGGTAGTGTCTATAGGATTCAGTGCTATCTGCAGTTTCAGGCATCCACTGGGGGTCTCGGAACTGTGGATAAGGGGGGACAACTGTACCAGACTGAACATCCATATCTTGTCACCTGGGAGTAAACTGATCGCCAGCAAGTTTCCATTATTACTGTATTCAATAGTGTATGGCATGCCCCTTGCCCATAGCCTAGCTAATGCCAGATATTATCATTTGAATTTATTGTGTTTGCAAAGTATATAATTTCTTTCTTTATTTTTTTTTAAGATTTTATTTATTTATTTGACAGAGATACATAGAGAGAGAGGGAACACAAGCAGGGGGAGTGGGAGAGGGAGAAGCAGGCTTCCCGCGGAGCAGGGAGCCTGACATGGGGCTCGATCCCAGGACCCTGGGATCATGACCTGAGCCGAAGGCAGACGCTTAACAACTGAGCCACCCAGGCGCACCGTATATAATTTATTTAAAATATATTTTACTATATGTGTTGGCCCCTTTATAGATATGATTTGTGACAACCTAAAATATAAAATTTACTTCTTAAAAATTTCCATTTTCCCATAATTTGTTTTCTTTCTTTTCTTCTGTATAACGTGATTTTCAGTGTCCTTTAATTACTTGCAGAGTGATGTCTGGATGTTAACATTGCCCTTTGGTATATATTCCTGATGTTTTTACCAAAGTTTTTTTTTTTTTTTTTTTAAAGATTTTATTTATTTATTTGCGAGAGAGAATGAGAGACAGAGAGCACGAGAGGGAAGAGAGCAGAGGGAGAAGCAGACTCCCCGCCGAGCAGGGAGCCCGACGCGGGACTCGATCCCGGGACTCCAGAATCATGACCTGAGCCGAAGGCAGTCGCTTAACCGACTGAGCCACCCAGGCGCCCCTTTACCAAAGTTTTTAATAAGTTATGCTTAATGCATATGTATGTCTCCTGTTTTGTTGTATTCTTTTGATATTTTATTGTTTGAATCTTTCGTTTTCTTAAGAACATGGGAGAAGGAAAGTGAGTCTGGCAGCTTCCTGAGCTAAAGCAGAGGTGGCCGTGGAGGCTTTTATGAGGATCATAGTTTTGCCAGCTGGGGCTGTACCTAGAACAAGACACGGGCCCCGAGGAGTTGAGGGGACCCGGAATTCTGTAGCTCTTTCTTCTGCCTCTCGGCCTACTGGCCGAAGCAGACCCTGAAAACAGAGAAGAACCCCACTTTCTGTGGATCTAAGGATAGGAACTCTTGTATATATCAGGGCTGTCTTAGGTAGAACAGAGGGAAGATCAGAGATGCTTCCTACCTGCTTTTCAGAAATTCTTACTGAATATTTTTCAGCCTAAAAGTGATAGGCTAAAATCAAGGTATTGAATTTTTTTCCATAGTTTTTTTTTTCTTTCTTATTTGGCCTTATTTTATGTTCAAACATATATCAATGCAAATTGACAAGTTATATTTCGGTGTTAATGAAGTAGAAGCAGGCCCATTTTGATCTTATTTAGTTCTACATGAAGTTTTAAAAAATGACCCAATACCTGGGGCGCCTGGGTGGCTCAGTTGGTTAAGTGTCTGCCTTCGGCTCAGGTCATGATCTCAGAGTCCTGGGATCGAGCCCCGCATCGGGCTCCCTGCTCAGTGGGGAGCTTGCTTCTCCGTCTCCCTCTGCCCCTCCCCCTGCTTGTGCTCTCTCTCTCTCTCTGACAAATAAAAAAATAAAATCTTAAAAAAAAATAACCCAATACCTAAATACTCCTACTGTAAAAATTTACCACAAAGTTATATAAAATAAAAAGTTAAAAACCACATTCGTCAACAACCTCTGACAATAATTACTACTAATAATTTGTTGTGTTTCTTTTTAGGTATTTTCAGATATATGTATATATAATACATTGGTGTATTCAATGAAATCTCAAATACATTTATATGTACACACGTATGTATACATGAATGTACTTTATATATCTAGTATTTAATATATGTGTGTTTAGTATACACATTGGTTGAATATACATAGTCTGCAACTTGCTTTTTAATGTTTGATATATCTTAGATTACCATATGTTTTTCATGTGACCAGAAATCCACCTGTGAGAAG